TTAATATGTATCGTGGCGAGCCGAGGGGCTTATAAATGGTGCACACCTGGCCCGTCAGCCACGGGCTGATAAAAAAATAACCTTATCAGCAGAGCACTAAACGGAAAAGATACTCGCATCAATACCAGCGGGGCTGACGTCGTTTATTGTCTCTGATTAATGGCCGCAACGGCTCAGATCCGTTGGTGGAAATCGGAAAATGTCTTGTGGAAATCCTGTAAGCTCATTTCGGTCTCTCTCCCCGCAGAATGGTTGACTTTAAGGTCCAGCAACGCCGCTACAGGACCAGCGAAAAGACTGTCGTCAGCACCACCTACGGCCCCATCAAGGGCGTGAAGCGGAAGTCCATCTACGGCCAGTCCTACTTCAGCTTCGAGCGGATCCCCTTCGCGAAGCCCCCTGTGGGCGAACTCCGCTACAAGGCCCCTCAGCCGCCGGAGGTTTGGACGGAGGTCAAGAGCTGCACCTCCCAGGGCCCTAAACCCCTCCAAAAGCACTTTGTGTTCGAGATGACCGATGGCTCCGAGGACTGCCTCTACCTCAATGTCTACACGAAGAATGTGAGTTAAAAGGTGTCCTGAATGGAAATGATTTCAAATAACACATTCAAGGCACTTAACTTTTATAAATGCGCTTTTTACAATGTTTACTTCCAAAACGGAATAGTTTCCTTATTTTATGATTCACCAACAAATTACTTATTCAACAAAATTTCCAGCACGTCAGTATTTACAAAAACATTTAGAGTTTGATCATTTTAGAAATATAATAACGGACAAAGGAATTTTATTTTCTTCAAGAACAGTGTTTTCTTTAGAACGGTGTTTTAAAGAAAAGTGCCATTCGAACTAAAATAAATCTAAAATGGCTAGGAAGAAATATTTAAATAGTTGTATGAAGTTGGAAAAAAAATTAATTGTCATAAATTACCAACTTGCCTTTTTTCTGTCATCTAAAAACGCTTATTCAGAACTTTGCACCGCAATCAATTCCATTTATAGAATAAAATAAACTAAAACTATAAAATTATCCAATATTTATGGACAATATATTTAAATTACGATATATAATACAGTTTTACCCTGAACTAGAATTTCAAACTAAGTTTGTGTATTTCTCCGACAGTTATATCCCACCAAGCCCATGCCTGTGATGGTCTGGATCTATGGCGGTGGCTTTCAATTTGGCGAGGCCTCTCGCGAATGCTACAGTCCGGATTACCTGCTGCGCGAGGATGTGGTGGTTATTTCTATTAACTATAGACTAGGCCCACTCGGTAAGATAGGAAATTCGGATATGGTAAATAAAAAAAATTCTATTGTACCTTAACTTTGAAGGATTTCTGTGCCTGGACGATCCCGAGCTCGATGTGCCCGGCAATGCGGGCCTCAAGGACCAGGTGTTGGCCCTTCGATGGGTGAAGGCCAACTGCTCCCGTTTTGGAGGCGACTCGGCGAACATAACCATTTTTGGGGACAGTGCGGGCAGTGCATCGGTCCACTACATGATGATAACTGAGCAGACGCGCGGACTCTTCCACAAGGCCATCTGCATGTCGGGGAACTCGCTTTCTCCGTGGGCGGTCACCCCCCAGAGAAATTGGCCATATCGGTTGGCTGTGCAGGCGGGTTATGTGGGCGAAAACAATACCCGCGATGTCTGGGAGTTCCTGAACAACGCCAAGGGATCCGACATCATCAAAGCCAATGGAGAACTGTGCATCGACGAGGAAAAGAAGGAGCGAATCGGCTTCTCCTTTGGACCAGTGATCGAACCCTACATAACTAGTCACTGTGTGGTGCCCACGAAGCCCATCGAAATGATGCGAACCGCCTGGAGCAACAGCATCCCGATGATCATCGGAGGCGTCTCCAACGAGGGTCTCCTCTTGTACTCCGAGACCAAGGCGCATCCCAAGTGTCTAAACGAGCTGGATGACTGTCGGTTTGTGGTGCCCATCGAGTTGAACATGGACAGGGAGAGTGCCCTGTGCCGGGAGTACGGAGACCAGTTGAAGCAGAGCTACTACGGTGACAAGACGCCGAGTCTCGACACCCTCCACGAATACCTTCAGGTAGGTTTGATATAAGGCTTAAGTCAGATTAGTGGATATTCTAGTCGCAAAACTTAAATTATACGAAATTATTGCCAACAAGTCTCGTGACTCAGCAACATTATTCAACCGAATTGGTTTTAATCTTGCTACTTATAGCAGTGTAAGCCTCATATATTTGGATGTTTAAGGCTAGTTCTCTAATAGTGACAACTTAAATTAATATATTTTGAAAGTACTTAACAGCAGCTCTGCTAATTACACATTTTCTTAAAGGGATTACGAAAACAACTGTGATTTTAGATTTTTATGTGCTGACGTCCTAAACTAAATATTTGTCAAACACTCATTCTCTGCCTCGTTATTTAAACTCTCAAATTTTTAATAATTATAAACGACTTTTGCCAACATCATAGTCATATCAGCGTTGTGTTTGCTTCAAAATTACTTAAGCAATTCATAAAAGTTCTTTGAATATGTGTCGTATTTGCTGAAAACGATTTGTGAAATTTTGCCTTCATGTTTAAAGAAACAAATCATATTTAGATGCCGTATTTATTTATTAAGGGTTAAACAGCTCAAAGTTTGAATACATTTCTTTTCATTTTATTTTATTAAAATGTATATATTTGAACAATAAATAAGTTTATTGCTACCCATGTATCAGCCTGAGCACGTTGAAATTGAATATATTCTAAAACATGAATTCGTTGGACAATTTACAGATGGTCTCCCATGAGTACTTCTGGTTCCCCATCTACCGCACAGTATTGTCCCGCCTGCAGTACGCCCGCGGTGCGCCGACGTACCTGTACCGTTTCGACTTCGACTCGAAGCACTTCAATCACCTGCGGATCCTGAGCTGCGGCAAGAAGGTGCGCGGCACATGCCACGGCGACGACCTGTCCTACTTGTTCTACAACTCGCTGGCGAGGAAGCTGAAGAACCACACGCGGGAGTACAAGTGCATCGAGCGGCTGGTGGGGCTGTGGACGCACTTCGCCGCCAGCGGAAACCCCAACTTCGATCCCGAGCAGGAGGATCTGTGGCAGCCCGTCGACCTGACTTCCGTCGAGAAACACCAGCTGAAGTGCCTTAACATATCCGACGAGCTGAAGGTCATCGACGTGCCCGATCTGAAGAAACTGATGGTCTGGGAGAGTTTCTTCCGACGCGACGAGCTGCTGTAGGGATCTGCAAGGAGCCACGTAGACTAGATCTGTAGCTTTATTTGAACGAGGGTGGGCCAAGAAACTACTGGGATACTTTTATTTGGTCTGAATTTAAACCAAAATAGTATATACAAGCAAGTCTTGTGTTTTCTATGACCAAGGGACTCTGTCCGTGGTTTGAAACCACCGTTGTCCACAGAATGCAACATCACCCTTGAAGTTTTTTGGCATCGATGCCAAGTGAGCCCACCCTAACGTTTATGATTCTGTAAGCTTTACGTTGAAGCCTCTGTTTGAAACAACGCAAAGCGTAGCTTAAGACCTGAAATCAAGAGAGTTTATTGCTGTTAAGTTTGACAACGCGAAGTATTCGATTTAGGTGTGTTAAAGATAGTCCTCGTTTATCTATATCTTATCGAATCGAATCTGTAGTCTAAGCAGGCTGTTTGTATGTAGCAAGACTCATTACTTGCAAGTGTGAATTAAGTCGCAACTGAAGTACCTTCTATGAGAATCTACCAAACCAACTAAACCAATTAAACCAAACTAAACAAGACAGCCAAGGAATCTGAGCAAAGAACTTATATTTAAAGTTCATTTAAGTCGCGCTGATATTTTTAAAAAACCAACTAATATCAACCGTATTTTATACGATTCAACTTATTGGAGATCGTTTAAGTCCTCAGCACAAACCTGAGTTAAGGGTTCCATTATTTTTCTTCCATTTCAATGAGAACGCACACATCTACCAAAAGGAAATTTCCATTTGTGTTTCCTAAAAAACAAATAACTGAGACAACTAGTTAAACGTAACCAATTTATTTATATTCTTAGCCTAAGACTTTTTAGACATTTAGCCTTTTGTATACATAGGTTGTTTTTGGTAAAATGTTATTTTGAACAAACAGAAAACCTGTCCAAGTTTAACATAATTTTTAGAAAATAAAAAAATGAATCCAAACAAAACAAAAACTATTTATACGAAGTCGTTTATGAATGTCCACAAAAATATACATACTAAAGACAGCTGGTTATAACTAGTTTGCCTAAGAGTTCTCTATGTATCTAAATCTGTTGGAAATTTCAAGTTAAAGTCGATAAGCTTCAAAGCTATGTGATGCAAATAAACTATGAAAATCAATAAATGTAAAAAACCATATTTTATTTAAAAAAAAAATAAACAACTTTGTGTTTTGTAACAAAGAAATAAAGTATTGAAAAGGTGCATTGAACTACTTATCACACAATTGAAATGAGAAAGTATTTAGTTGCTCTCACAAAACTGAGACACTTTGGCATCAACCAAAAACACACTGTACCGCAAGCTTTCACGAATGGTGACTTTATCCAACAGTAAGTAATCCTTAATGAAATCAGCTATCTCAACATGTGCCTGCCTTTTTTAATTACCACCGCCATAAAACTTCCCATCTGTAACATAGGCCTGCGTCACAAATTTCTGTCTAGCACTCCTATCATCAAACTAACGAAATAGCTACAAATTATCGCATATGCGTTGATGCGAAAACTTAATACATATCGCGAGATCAAATACAGCGTGACTAACTCCGTGCTAATTGGAACGTTTATTTTTTCGCATTTACTTGGTCGCGGTATTTAGTTTTAATAATTGTATAATATTGTTCAAAGTGAATGTCAAAGCGCTGTAATCAAAATTTGTTTGATCTCTCGTCTAATGTCGGCGATTGTGCCATTGGCTGTGAATCAGCTGCTTGGTGCTAATAGCTAGTGTAATCTTCTCGGTTACTCGTATAGTGCTTATATATCTGATCATGCAACTGTCTATCAGTTATATTTGGAACTCGTAGCTCGACAAGTCGAAATGGATGCAATATTGAAAGTTATCTTGTTGATCAGGTAGGTTCGTTAGTTCATTGGCGTCTCACAAAATTAAAACATGTTTTTAGTTTTTATTTTATGGCTGTAACTTTGCACTTTGGGTTGTGTGATGATGTTCCATCCGCCGATGCAGACACAGTGGTAACAGAAAGTGAAGAACACTACACCGCACCAGATGACTTTGACTTTTAATGGATTTGTTAAACAAACAAATTAATCCCAGTCATAGATAAATAAATAAAGATTCTTTTAGCATCTCCAAAATTTCTTTTGTTAACACTTTTCGACGGCATTCCAAAATTCAAGTTCATTGACTCTTGAAATATTACAGTAAGGCCTAATTTTTGCTTACAAAAGGTAAATTTGCATATATAGAATGGTGCAATCAAATTAAGAAATTTTCACATTTCAAAATAAATATACAATCAACGTTGGCGGGCAATAAGCAATGGCAAAAATTTGTAAAAACAAGAAAGGAAGCAAACTTCGGCAAACCAAAGATAATATAAGCTTACAGCTATTTACATCATTAAACATCATTAAACATCTAAATTTCGAATAATATGAGTACCCATTGAAGCCCAATAAAGCTACGATGACTTTCACCTCAATTTTTTGATCGTTCCAATCATTTTCCGCTTTTCATAAAATACAAGGCATAGTTTTGAATTACTAAACCATTCCTATGTCCAAAAGAATTAAAAAAAAGAATTGAATTAGAATTAGAGATGTTACAATTTTTTAATCTTTAAGCCCTTCCAGAGAGTATTTTAATTTCAGACAGAAGTTTGCAAAGTAGTGAAGGAAATAATAATAAAATAATAAAACATTACTAAATATCGGAAAACTATAAAAAACAAAGTTATAATTTTTTTTATCAATTTTTTCCTCGATTGTTGCAATCGTTCCTAATTATATACTACCTGCAATAGGAAGACAACTTTTTGAAAGGTTTCATGCAGATAGCTTGATAACTGAGAGACTAGTGGAACAAACGGACAGACGAACATGGCTAGATCGACTCTCCTAGTAATGTTGATCAAGATATATATATACTTTATAGGGTCGGAAATGTGCTTTCATTTACTTGATTTTCTATTTAATGGCGAAATTGCTTGCAGTGTACTTACAAAGGGCTCTCATTAGGGGTCTTGCAAGAGCTTAAAATAATAGTTGGAAATCGTAAATTAGCCAAGTTCATGTTCAAGGTGATCTTGCGGCGTTGGTTTTATAGGTTGAATATTCAATTTCTGAGCTTGATCATCTTGCTTGTGAGTGTCATATCAAGTAGCTCTTTTTAAGATTTAAAAGTTCAAGTATTTCAGCATTGCCAGCAGAAACAAAAATAAAAGCTTAAGTTCAATGGTCTGGACAATACGATACCCTGTAAATTTTTTTTGTAAAAATGTTGCATTTTAATTATTTATCATAAATTAAAAAATATATATTAGAGTAAAAGTAACCCTGACGCATTATCTATGCAGTAAAAATAAATTGATAAGTCACGTTTCGGAAAGTTGATGTGCTGATTAAGAAAAGTAAAATGTATGTTATATGTATGAATGTTTGTTGCGCTGTTGTAGTCATAACTATTATTGAAAACATAACAGTAAAGAAAAATCGGAAAGTAAGCCACAAAACCGGTATTTTTGAGAGCAGTGAGCTATAGCCAAACAGCTGATCCCGATGAGCAACGCTTCCGATGCTCATGCACACTGAGAGAGAACAATATTGCTGAGGTGAGTGGTTTTATCGGCATAGTAAGACCCGATCGGTCAGTTGTTGCTGAACGCTCTTGAAGAGCGCTGTGTTTGTACCGCTCGCCATTTACCGCCCGTTACTCCAGCCGGTTGTGCCTACTTTGTGCTTCTAGTTTGTTGTGACACTTTTCCGGAATCGGTGCCCGTTATCGAAGCGTGTATAGCGTTACCATCAATTACCTGTGGGTTTTTCGGTGTTAATGAAAAAGAGTGCGCGAAGAGACATCCGAAATGGCTACGCGCTTTATGGATATGGTGAAGCTGACCTTTAAGTGAGTTTTTCCAGTCTCGGCTTCTCCACAAGCGTTAAACGGTTTTTTGTGCTTTGGGCGGTCGCGTCTTGGTTTTGCAATAACTTCTGCCTAGCATGCATACAAAAACACACATATGCACTAAAAAAAACATTTATAAGTTTGTTTCTAAAATTTTATTAGTTTAAAAGCTGTTTGGCTTATTAAATACAACTTTACGCCTAAAATTATAATGTTTATATTTTAAGTTTAAACTGACTATATGGCCTTTATCGCATTAAACAAATATAATTATGTTTTACAATTTTGTTTTTAAAAAGATAAGGAAATCATTCTGTTTCACTAACATGCCTGAAGTTAAAGTTTAAGTTGTCCTTAAAGCAGCTCAAAAAGTTATATTTGCTATTAACAACATCAGCAATCAATTTTGATGAAACACTTTAAGCATTACATTAAAAAAATATAATTATAATTTTTCTAAGATATGATTTATTGCTTAATACAGATAAGATAAAACAAAATGTTTGTTTTAAGGGGTCAATCAATACACAATTTATTTAACTTGAATGATGTTTTCTCTGTGTACTCGGCACACACGTAAATTTATGTGTGTTGCGTTGGTGAAATTGTTGCGCAAACTTTGCTGCGGGTCGGATGTGTTTTTTTATGTTTTTTGTTTTCTGTTGTTTTGCATAAACTTAATGATGCTGCTTCTTCTTCTGCTCATTTCTGTCCGCTTTGTTTTCCCCGCCTTTTGTTTTTTCGCCCATGATTCAACGATGTTTCACAGTGGAGACATTTGTTAGTTTTTTTTTTTTGTTTTTTTGATTTGTGTTTACTATTTTTTGCACGTTTTCGCAGGTTTATTAGCAGTTTTGCGGGTAGTTAGTATTTTTAAAGTAAATTATTGCAAAGCAACACACAATCGTGTTAATTGCATGTGCCTATATTTATTTATCACTATTTGTTTATGTGGATTTTCAATTGGCGAAATCAAAGATGTGGGTTAGGTCAGTATGGAGTATTTTACGATGGCTTTTGAAGAACTTAAACATTGCTTATATGTATACAAAATATAAAAATATCTATTAAATTTAAATTTCTTTGAAGTTTTTGCCGCTGTTTCAGGTTGAACTTAATCGTCGTCATGACTCTGATTTTAATTTAATTGAAGACAAGTGTACTTTTATCTTCAAACTGGTTTCCGTGCAAGTTAAATCCATATATTAATAAACACACGTCTGCGATACTATAACACTGAGTCAAGTTAATTGTTTAAATTACCTGATAAGTTCCTGGGGTACAGGGTTCATTTCACTTCCAGGTGATAGGTATTCTCATATTTTTCTGCTCTGTGGGCATGACATGGCAGTTTTTACCTATTTTATTTGTATACATTTCTGAATAAATAATCATTGACTTATTAAAACTATACCGGCTTATATTGTTTGTCATACCGGTAACTTGTATTTTGTTGCCAAGTGACTGACTTTAAAAATGACTGATTGTCATGCTGATGATAAGAATAACTAAACTTTGATTGCTGAAACATTAGCTTGGTACTTAAGTTGCAGTTGCAGAATGAGTTTCTACTTAAAAGAGTGTTAAGCTCTGGGTTAAGTGAGCGAATTAGTCTTAATTTATTACCGTCATATCTTACGCTTGGCTACATTTGCTATTGGGTATTTCAGGCGTTATGCCATCCAAAACAAAACGCACTGGCAAAAAAATATTTCAGAAACCAAGTTAGTTTGAAATGTTGAAAAACGTTATTATTGGGAGTTAGCCTGCTCAGACTCACGGCAGTCACGTACTGTCCAATCTGCGCCGACTGATCTCGCCTTTCTCTCGATCCCAGCCGTAATTACCGATTTGTATGCACTCGTGTGCAGGCAGTGATGTTGACTCAAACTATGTCAGTGCACTTGCAGAATGCCAGTTGGATGTTCGACTTGCGCCTCTGCCGAAGGTGCGCAGTGTGAGCAAATAGAAATAGGCCATTAATTGCATTAAAGCGCCTCACGCCCACCCACAAATTAGCCATAAAAATCAGAAACAAACAATCCCAGGCGTAAACAAAGGAGAGTTATAGAAAATAGAGAACTGGTCGTGCATGCAAAACGTGAAGCGTTGAGGTTGGTCAAAAGCCATTCCAAAGCAGCAAAGACCTCCAGCGACATTGAAAGTGTTGAGTCGGCATTTCGGTTTTGGTGCCCGCTGCTGAGTGCTCACTGTGGTCATGTCCCCAATGCGTGACAGCCGCTGACCGGATTAGTTTCGCAGTCATCATTAATATATATATTTGAAAGAGGAGCTATCTTTTAACAAACCGGAGAGTATTACGACGTTTCCAAGAAGTTTACAGGCCACTGAAGGGGGTTTTTCCAATCATAAATGAGGATGTATACCATGACCATGAAACAGCCAAACTCTTTTCACTGATTTAAAAAAAAAAATCATATAAAAAAGAGGAACTCATTTACTGATCGATTAAGCTTTTATTTAACTAAAACTATACTAAATATGTCATAGTAAATCAAAGCTTAATTAAAGCTTAAATGATCAGTCAATTGAATATAATACTGAATTTGCTTTTAAAAGTTGTTATATCTATGTACAGTTGGGGTCAAAATATACGCATTTAAAATTAATTGCGCTGCTTTTCCTGAATCATGTTTATATAGTGTACTTTTATTAATATTTTAATTTAAATATTGTAACTTTGCACTTATTCTTTTGGTAAGAAACCATTAACAGCTCATTTATTTGTACTTTTAGCGTGAAAAAGTAGATTTGAGAAATTATTTTTAAATTCCGATAGACGAGTTATAAAAATAACCACTAATTGCTTTTATTTTCCTAAAATTAATTACCATACCATCACGGAATAGCATTACCTGTTTAAAAAAAAGCTGTTCCGTAAAATGAATTTAATTTAAAACACTCGCGAAAGTAACTAAAAAACTTTGCTGCTTTCAAAGGCTCTTACTAATTAATTAAAGTGTAAACCGATTTTGAGGGCTTTGCAAATAGTATAATACAAAAAACTAAAAAGTTAAATAAAAATCTCGCTTACATAACCTATCAAAGGGCTTATGAATGCCAACTAGAAAAACAAGATAAGAGCAAAACGCGTTTTAAAATTTTTAATTCGACTTCTAATTGTAGTGACAGCAACCCATTAAACGGCCGATTACTTTTCTAATTTAAGAGATCGTATTCTTGAAACACGTATCTATCTGAATATGCAGCAAAACGGTGTGATTTTTTTGATTTCACAAGGTAGAAAACTTTATTTCATTGGAGTCTGGGTCAATTCTCAAGCAAGACAACAAAATTAAAATCTAAAACAACAAAACAAAAAATTAATATAGATCTCAAAATATATAAATATTTTTTTATGGGATTTAAACTAGTTTATAATTTTCATCGCGCCAAGAAATCGTTTTGACAGAGATTAATATCATTTACATTAACATAAGGTTAATGAATAAGTCACTAAAACTCCATAGTTCTTTAAATTTTAAAATTAGTTTTTTCTGTGTGTTGTGTAGCCAAAAAAAAACAGCGTCTTAGTTTGTATTGAAAAAATAACGTAATGGAGTTCCAATAACCAACTTTTGTAATGTTATTAACCATTAAATTCGGATTACAGGGTGCTCAGTTTTAAGTACGAACAGCGCAAGTTGGCCACTGCAATCTATTCTGTGATAAAGACCAAGCTGGGACCTGTGCGCGGAGTGAAACGGAACACAATCTGGGGAGGAAGCTACTACAGTTTTGAGAAGATACCCTTCGCCAAGCCGCCAGTGGGAGCGCTTCGATTCAAAGCCCCCCAGCCAGTGGAGCCATGGGACCGGGAATTGGACTGCACTTCGGCGGCAGAAAAGCCCCTGCAGACACACATGTTTTTCAGGAAGTACGCGGGCTCTGAAGATTGCCTGTACCTAAATGTATATGTCAAAGATGTAAGTTTTAAACAGCTTCTCGTACGAACAAACACTAAAGACAATCTTCTTCTTTTAGCTGCAACCGAATAAACTGCGTCCCGTTATGGTTTGGATCTACGGAGGAGGATTTCAGGTTGGAGAAGCCTCCCGAGATATGTACAGTCCCGATTTTTTCATGTCGAAGGATGTGGTTATAGTCACGGTGGCCTATCGACTAGGTGCTCTGGGCTTCCTTAGCTTGGACGATCCTCAATTGGATGTGCCCGGAAACGCCGGTCTCAAGGATCAAATCATGGGCCTTCGCTGGGTGCAGCAAAATATCGAAGCTTTCGGTGGTGATCCCAACAATGTAACACTCTTTGGCGAAAGTGCCGGAGGAGCCTCCACTCACTTCCTCACACTAAGTCCCCAAACCGAGGGACTCATCCACAAAGCTATCGTGATGTCGGGCAGTGTTCTGTGTCCCTGGACGCAACCGCCGAAAAACAATTGGGCCTATCGTCTGGCCCAGAAACTGGGGTACACTGGTGACAATAAGGACAAAGCCATTTTCGAGTTTCTGCGATCAGTGAGTGGCGGGGAAATTGTCAAGGCTTCCGCCGCAGTCCTCACCAATGACGAAAAGCATCATCGGGTTTTGTTTGGCTTTGGACCGGTTGTAGAACCCTATACCACCGATCACACGGTGATCGATAAGTCGCCCCACGAGGCAATGCAGAGTAGTTGGAGCCACAGGGTGCCCATGATGTTCGGAGGCACCAGTTTCGAAGGCCTGCTCTTCTACCCAGGTGAGTGGTGTTCTTATTCCCATATGACAAACCTAATCACACATTTACCCATTGCGTAGAGGTTTCAAGGCGTCCTGCCACCTTGGATGAGGTGGGAAACTGCACAAACTTACTGCCGAAAGATCTAAGCCCCAATTTGGATCCCAAACTACGAGAAAACTATGGCCTGCAGCTGAAGAAAGCCTATTTCGGCGATGAGTCCTGCAATCAGGCCAACATGATGAAGTTCCTCGAACTCTGCTCGTACCGCGAATTTTGGCACCCTATATACAGGGCAGCTTTAGCTCGAGTCCGCCAGTCCAGTGCACCAACCTATCTGTACCGATTCGACCACGATTCTAAGCTATGCAACGCCATTAGGATCGTCCTTTGTGGCCATCAGATGCGAGGTGTTTGCCATGGCGACGATCTCTGCTATATATTCCACAGCATGCTGTCACACCAATCTGCCCCCGAGTCCATAGAACACAAGGTGATCACCGGAATGATCGACGTGTGGACGGCTTTCGCCGCCAACGGTGATCCAAACTGCGAAAGCATTAAGTCCCTGAAATTCACCCCCCTCGAAAACGAAACGGATTTCAAGTGTCTCAACATTGGCGAGCAGTTTGAAATGAAGGCACTCCCTGAATTGCTAAAGATTGAAACTGTTTGGAACAATTTTTATGCCCCAAATGAACTATAGATGCAGTGCATCAATAAGAGGATTTGAAAGCTTTAACTGTCTTAAATGCATGAATTTGGATGATCTTAGATTGTGTGAATACGTTGTACATACGTTTTGGTTATTTAAGTGTTTGAGATGTTTGTTGTTCAATTTGAAAATGCTGTTTTAGGTTTACCATGACATAGAATTAATTTCACAGGGCACAAAATTAATAAAATAAATGTTTTACAACTACAAAAAAGTTTAGCTATAAGCTGGGGAAGGTGAGGAGAAACATACACCCCGAATGGAAAAAGTCAAAAAGGTGTTAAAAATATTTATATACCGGTTGCAGAGGTTTTATTGAAACGCAATCGGAAATTTCGTGAACAAAACCCAAATGCTTAGTATTTTAACTGCTTGAGAAGGGTAGGGCGAAACCAACACCCCGTGAGGCAAAATCGACTCCATTAAAAATAATTATATTTTTGAAATAAAACACAAAATTTATCAAAACACCTCATAACAAGGCAAAAAAAAAAAAAAACCGTGAGCGATGAACCTGTTTTTATTTTGTTTCAAATATAGTAAAACATTATTACCAGGGGTTTGACAAAAAATAAAGATTTTATGCGTTCCGAAAAAAACATTATAAAAGTGAACTTGTTTAGTTGTCAACAAATTTGATATCAGAAATTATGTGAGTTGAAAGTGCGATCGTCACGATATTTTTTACGTCGTTAAGAGACATTTCCGATCCTAAAAAATATATATTCTTGATCAGCGTGGCTAGGGAGTTGTCCCAGCCATGTCAGTTTTAGAACTATCTTGATTAATCATTCCCAAAAGTTTTTATTCCATTGCAGGTAAATAAGTACGTCTTCTGTGTGGAGAGTTTTGACGATATTTTTTCTTTGACCTAGAAAATAATATTTAAGTAAAACAACTATAAACGAAAACAAGAGGGAACAACAAACTAGACTAGAAAACTAGTCTCCCAGTTTTTAAGCTGTCTGCATGAAACTTTCCCAAAAGTTGTCTATCTTTGCAGATTGAACGAATATAGCATAACTTTTCTTTTTTATTTCTTTTTTTAGTTCGTTGAGATATAAATAATTTGTATTTCAGAACTACGGTCAAAATTTGATTAAAATCGGACGACTATACCATATAGGTCCCAAAAAAACATTTAACAAGTAAAGTACGCATAATCAAAAATTTAAAATGCATTCTTCGGCATGGCTCAAACAGTCATGTGCTCTGTGCGAGTTCTGGAATCAAAACTATTTAATCCATTTATAACTTTCCCTTGTTACTCTGTTCGATGTACGCAGTAATAAATATGTGTTGTGACAGGGTAGTATGGGCATGTTTTTAGTTTGTTTAAAAATAAGTGCCTTTACACATCCTAGCCAACGAAGGAAAGAAACGCAGTTTAGCGGAGATGCTCAATCCGAATCAGTTTAATATCTCAAACAACATTTTTATGAACAAATTAGGAATTTCAACACCCCATTGAAATCAGAAAGAAAACATTGAAACATTGAATGTTTTCAACATTAGCACGAAAATAAAAAAAAAATAAAATATCACCAACGGAAATTTCAACAGCAGGAAAAAAATCGAATAGCTCAGCAAAGCGTCGCCGCATGACAATTCAAAATCTTAAAATTAATTTTTCTTCAATTTTTTCGTGAAACCATAAGTAACAAACGAAAAAAAACCAAAGTTGGTATTTGGCGAAATACATGCGTTTATCCAATTTGATGAAAAAACCGATATACATAATAAATGCCCGAGAACGAAAAATGTGTTGAAATTTGAGTGCACGGGTATCCTGTGTTGAGTTAATTGTTATATGCCATGCTTATGTATCTTGTCTGTATATCTAAAATATTTACATTCCATGTGGAGGATCCGCTTAAAGTTTCAATTCAATGTCAGTAAAGACAACGTGTTACTAAACCTGTCGGTTTGTGTAAAACGTTTATTTTTTCGTTCGTCTATACGGCTAACACCAGGCGGAACTATCAGTGCCAGCCCTTCCACCCACTTGGCTATATGCTGATGTGACATTTATGTGTGTAAGCCGACGCTTGACAATCAAAGGGGACAACAATTTCCGCAATGCCACCGCCAACAACGACAGGCAGGATGACACTAGGGAGCGTGGGAGTGTGGAAAGAATGAAAAAAAATTCCATTAAAATTTTTGCAAGTTTTTAATTCGTTTTTTTTTTTTTTTAAAGGCGGTGGGGCTTTGCCGGAATACGCCCAAAATGTTTGTGTGGTAAATGCAAAAGGGGTTTGTTCCCGTGTGTTCGGGATGCGTGTTCCCATCAGCAACGTGAAAATTTCATTTTGTCGACAGGCTAGATGGTCGCACAGAGTTGGGCAATTTTTCGTTAAATCTTTCCTATATATAACACTTTTTTTGCTCAGAATTAGACTGTGTTTTGGTCATGGCTGTGGCATGCGGCCGGGCGTGACCAACGTATGGGGGGTGTCCCGAGGGTTTCCAGGAGGGGTTAGCGCCCAAATCCCGTGCATGTGCACAGGGTGTAAAAATGGGCGTTAACTCAATAAATTAGAATTTTTTCCGTTGCACAAAATTGTTTGAGAATGCGATTTCTCGTTTTTCACATTCCTTTTTCTCTTTCTGGCGCTGGCATTTGATTAAATATTTTTTCAATTTGGTTTTAATGAATTTGTGCATAAAGTTAGGTTCTAATTTCAAACGTTTATTTTAGTTCTATTTTAGATTTGAGATTATCTTTCATTATTGTTTTTGTTCAATAGAGGGGTGCTACAAAAACAATAAAGTTTAAAAAAAAAAATGCTTAAGAGTATGCAAAGGAAAAAAGCACCGTCGTCTTTGGTGATGAATATAGCAGACCTCATGACTACCAGAACATTATGTATTGCATACATTTTTAGCCACCCTTTAAAGTTATTTCAAAGCCGCAGGTATTCCGTAGCACTTCTTTAGGTTTAATAACTAAATAATACATAAATTATTTATTTATTATTATTTGCGAATAAATAATTTTTTTACTGGCTAATAAACTGTAACTGAACTAATCATTAAGGGACAAACGATAGTTTTATATTCTTTTCTTAGCTGAATCACTAAGTGAGCATTGGATCATGCTCAGAAAACAAAAATTTCTTGATTACAAAATTTTATAAACATCTCTAAGCATGTATATTATTAACAATCAATCTTTTTAACAATGTATAAGGTGATTTCCCAACCAATACTACTCTTCCTAATAGGAATAATTTTTATGAAATTATAGAATGTTTTTTATTTGGTGAAAATATTTGTTTTAAATACAATTAAATGTTAAGTTCCCCGATCCTTCGTTCTCTTTTTAGTTACATTTTCTCTAAATAGACACTTAATTTAATAAATTTTGAATGCCACATATTTTTACACTCATGGTTTTTTTTTTTTTGTGCCAGCAGTTCAGATGATGAGGAATTTTTTCCGCCACCGCAGAAAAGTATGCAACGCTCATAAATGTTTTTTTAGCTTAACATTTCCATGTGTCAATGTGGGTGCGTATGCTGCATCCGCCGTGTTGCCACTTGCCGTACGGGAGCTTCCCTTTGCCTGTTGCTTGTCGTAGTCACTCGTCGGATGTCTGATCATATTTGTTTGCGGTCTGAACTGCGGCGGCCGCTTAACAAAAAGTGGTCAGTACACACACAACGACCACAATTATAATGGCCGACGAAGTTCAACTTTTATCAAATTAAATTTGCCGGATTACAGGTATTTAGAGCTGAAACAGTCTGTGGCCGGGGCTTCAGGCAATACAAGTGGCATTAGCGGTTGTAATTGAATTTCAGCTATGTGCATGCATTCCACCTTTTTTTCGAGCCCGTTGTTTTTAACTGCGGCCTAATTGAATTTACTTCACATTTAAATAATAAAATAAGAAGACAATAAACGATTCTGGTTTGTGTGCGGACGCAGCATTTTATTGTTTGAATATCTGGCTGTTTGGATGGGATCTTCCCGAACTCAACGGTTTTTACATGTTTTTATATCTGGTATTTTTTAGCTGGTCGAAGTGACTTTGACAGCTCATGGCGCAAAAAGATTATTCCTAATTTCCAAATTGAAAAGCTCACACTGAATTAAAAATAATGTTAAATGAAAGTTTAGTTCGAAATGAAGTTAATTAAACAACATCAAACTTATGTAAATATTTATTAATATCGTTTCATTCGCGTAGATTAGTGGAGAACATGTATTTTGTTTAGATTAAGATTGTACATTTTTAAAATTAAGATTGTCCTAAATAAAAAGCGTTACTCTCACCATTGAATATAGTAGTGATCGGCTTGCAAATAATGTATTCGACAACCAAACAGTTTTATTTTAAGTTTAGGGCGTTGCGCAGTGTCCATAAAAATTACTCATTCGACACGTAAGCCAGTCCAAATTTTGGGTAAAAGAATTTTTTACCGTTTCCAAACTTGTCAACTCTTGATCTCGCTTAAATAGTAGTCCAAATATGGAGAGCAAATGAAATTCTCACCACCTGCATGAAAATAAGTTTTTTCTTCTGGGATGCCCAGAACACCAATATTTATTAAAATGAGAATTGCTTTCCACATTTAATAAAATTTAGCAACGCATATTTTCTTTAGAAACAAGCCAGTCTTGAAAGACTTGTATATTTAAAAAAAAACTATTGAACCAAACGCATTTAAAAAGAGAAAATTAAACTATTTAACCATTGTCCGCCAATAATCAAAATTGTTCTACCTTTCTCTGCAAAATATTTCATTCGAAGTCAATTAAAACACCTTTCCGTCTTTCAGCTCCTTGGTAACATCGTCCATACATTCATGTTCACTTCTGGCTTCCAAGTGTTTGGCACTGAGAAAAGGTTGCTGTTAGAGTCGAGACTGAAAACGGAGGCAGCTGCAACTCAATTACGTTGCAAGCATAAATTATTCACTTAAGTGTCACAAATTACCTGAAAAAGGTTGCCAAGGGGGAGCAGTTGACTGCGTTTTACCTGCAAAACACTTCGACGCACACGGACGCAACTCAATTTGAGCATAAATTTCATTTGGTCCAAGTGAAAACAACAGCAGCAGATTCCGAAGAAGCTGCGTCCTCACCGGCTTTAATAACAAACACAATTTAAGTGCTCATAAAGCGGCTTGCCAGGCAGCTGAAAGCCCGGCTCCTGCCCTCTTGCTAACGGAGTGCAGCAGGAGTTATGCACTCGTAGGATATGCT